CTCTAGTACGCTGATGACGTTGTGGAGTTTGCTGAGAGCCGCAGCGGGATTAGCTCTTGGGCTAACATACACAGCAGCAAGAAACACAGCACTATGCTCTCTGGCTAGATAGTAGGGCCGGCATTTCAGCAATAAAAACTCTACGTCTGGCGAACAGTGCTTATTAAACAGTCCGTACATCTCCACACCATGAGTTATTAATAAACACACACACACACACACACACACACACACACCTCCTTCCTTTACCTTCCCCGAAGCAGCAGTGCGACAAAAGAGGACATGAAGTTAATTAGTGGGAGAGTAGAAGATGCCGAGGATAGAATTAGGTGGAAACAGATTATTCGCTGTGGCGGCCCCTAACGGGAACAGCCGAAAGTGGAAGATGATGATACTAGTAGGGAAATCCAATCATAAAATTATTTTATCCATTATCCCTACCACTTATCCTGTAGAGCAGGGGTTTTCAAAGTGTGGGGAGGTCAGCCTCCCCTCAGAGGAGACTGTGAAAACAGTGCTTCCCCCCTACAATTTACCTTTATCATCACTGTTGGTGTAGCCTACTATACGTTGCGCTCAGCCATAATAATGCTTTCAACAATAAATGTAAACATCTTTTAAGCAGACACTTTTGCAACACAGTTCCACTCTCAAGGACTCAAGCTTAAACTGTGGACTAGTCTTACATAAAATTATTTACCAATTAACCCGCCACAGTCCAAACACAAAATGAAAATGTACAACAATAGGCTTACTAAAATAGCCTCAATTCAACCAAATCATACATGTGTTGCAGCAGCTATTTGAAAATAATCAGCTGCTGAAAGGGAGAGCAGGGAAGACTTCTTACGCATGTTGTCCAAACACACTCGACTCTGCAACTACTGTATGTTTGTTCATTTATTGAAGAAGCAAACCACCATCTTACAAGCAAGTCATAATGTGGAACATGGACAAACTGGACAAAAATCCCCACAACATAGCAGTCAATAGAAAAGAGGGCTCACATCTCTTCTCCCTTTCACACCGAACTGCCAAACAACCAGGTGATATTAATTAATCTGTCCTCTATGCCCCCCTGATGCACCCATACACACCAACATTAGTGGATGCATGACAAGCATAAAACCCAAATATCTTTTTGGTTCCCACACACTGTGAGGCCTATTTGTGCAGTTTTACTCATGTCAAATCATTTTTTTTCCAAACTCAGTCGGCCACCAAACAAAATCATCACTGCGATCCATGCAGTGCTGCTTTTAATATCACTGTCTCCACATGGTGCATACCTGCCTTAGCCGTGTGTAATGCAATATGATAATTCTTTTGTTAACTCTGTATTCACAGTGCTAATGTCTCAATTACTTTCTTCTGTGACCGCCAATGTTCTAGTTTCCCATCTAAAAACTCCCATCTTGATCACCAGACTTGTTTACATGGTCTTATGCTCTCATTAGCTAGCATCATTTTGCAAATAACACTGTGGCAGTGGAGCATCATCATAACCAGTCCATGAAAATCCATATGAAAGATAATCATAATCAAACTTACTGTTTTCTGCTTGACCCAGACTCAGTCTCTTCTCTCACTGAAGTACTACAAATCGATCCATTTTGCCCCACACATAGTCTAGCTGAACTTTGATGTTTACAGTTATTTTTTTCATGCTGCACATCCCCTGAAATCCTCTGCCACCCCCGAGGGGAAGAGAGCCTCACACTTTGAAAACTGCTGCTCTAGAGGGCTATGGGGGTGGCTGGAGCCAATCCCAGCTGATATTGGGTCATCTCAAGTGACCGTTCAAGGAGCTGCAGGTTTTGGCACTTGCGCATTGGCATCATTTCTCAGCCCTGGAGGCTGCCACTTGAGTTTACATCTAGTCAGATCACTATAAGCACTCCAGAACAGAGATGCATGATTAATCATTTTTCGATTGCAATTGAGGTGCAGTCTCCGTCTCACATGATAATGATTCTGCTATGTTTACGTTAGCAAGGAGATCCCTTTCATCAAACCAAGTCATCCCACCAAAATGTGAATCCATCCTTTAGAAGCCATCACATGACATCACACAGAACATAGTCAAGACACCTGCTAACATTATGGCCTATGTAGGTCTCCATATATTTTGGTGTGGATCATTATAGAGTTGAGTCTTCATGATATGTACTGTCCTATTTCTACCCATGCACAAGTCTTTGCATTTTCTCCACATTGCCTTTTTCATTTGGACCATCAACAAAATTACAACATTTCTGAATTTTCCCAGACTGTACAATAATATGATCCTCATGTCAAGAACAGATCAAGACAGACAACCTATTTAGCTAGCAAAATACCAGTACACAAGTACCGCTACCAAGACTGTTAAAAAAAAAAAAAAGAAGTTCAATAATCTAAAACATAACATTGGTGATCTACTGCTAGTAATATTAGCATTGTAGCTGCACCATTTTGTACAGCATCCCCAGGAGATTCTACATGTGTCTTGGCGCCAACTGGTGTGGAACACACAGTGCAAGACCCTCGTTTTTCCACTGTAATGTGAGCATTCTTTGACACTGAATGCACTGGACTGCCTGAACAAAAAAAACTTCACCTAGGTTTTTGCATAACTGCTCAATAGAATGGCTTGTGAAAAAAAACCCCTGCCATAAATATCTTAATTGCTGATCCACACTTGCAACAACTGTAATAACACTGCCAAAACACAGATAAGAGTCAAAACTATGCACATCAATGTGTTAGTAGGACCACAATGTTCCTGCCGACTAAAGTCACCACCCGAACCAGCGAAATATCTGATAAAAATGCAGCAAGGGGAGGGTTATGTAGCTATGGCGACACATGCACCACTTTGTGTTGCATTTATAAAATGAAGGGAATTACAAAGTCGTTAATCTAACCATATACCCATGGGATATTCAGGCATATATCTTGTTCCTCAAGAAGCAACTGTTGCTGTTTGACATGTAAACCAACATGAAGCAGGAGGAGCTCAGTGAACATTCAGTACATTTTGGAGTTGGTTTAAGAGTTTTGAGCAGAGAACATCTACTTACTTATAGCTTTATGAGGCATTTTATAACTGACCAGGACCACAGTTGACCAGGGGGGACACAAATTTCTGTTTTTGTATATTTTGGGTGCTCTTTCCCGGTCCCCCATTAAGATTACACCATAATAAGATTACCTACGACCATAACATTCATCCTATGACAAATGGCTACAAATTCATATTCTGCCACACCAGAAAATAAAATCAGTCTGACATTTGATCATGTGGGTTAATTAGTTGCCACCATAGGAAAAGTGTTTACCTGGCCCTTGAAATGAGCCACAACTTAAAAGTGTGCACACACGCATCATAGGTGGCGCTACAGTACTTCAACAAATGGCACTACACCTCCACTTCTCGCAGCAAATTAACTTGTTATTTGACACTACTATATACTTATTCGATAGTGGCAAAAGGCCAAGGTCCTTCCCCTGTTACAGAGTAAATTATTTTTTTTAGTACTTATTTTTAAATCATTCTGGAAAGTTAAAACAAATTTAGAAAAAAATCTACTACTAAATTTGAACTTCTTCTTCTTACGGCTGTTCCCGTTAGGGGCCACCACAGCGAATCATCTACTACTACTAAATTTGAACACATTATTAATTAAAACCCATACAAACAAACAAAAATTTTCTGTCAGCATTTAACAACAATCAGTGGCCACTTTGGTTTGTGTAAAATCTAGGTCATATCTGACAATAGGTCAATCATCAATTCCACCTTTATAAAGATAATAATGCTCAGTTTTGATTGACACTGTCAGACAGGTATTAACATGTTTATTATCAAGGCTGGAGTTTGCAGGGGAATTGAACTGGACTGCATTATATTGAAAGGTTTTTAATAAGAAATCCGAAGAAAATTAGAAGAACATAAATATATCAGTTCAGTGCAATAGATACAATGATTATAAACAGCTGAATATGCACATATCTTTTTTTTTTTTAAGTTGACAATTTTAAGCTTTATAACGATAGAGTATGTGAGCTGTTGTACTTGGTTTTATAATGAAGTGGCCAAGGAGCCTATATGCTTTGACAGTGCTTATTTAGTTTCTCGGTATACAACCAGAAAAACCCTCTAACCTGTATCACCTTTTCAGAGACAGATAAAACACTATGATAAAATGCAGTGTTTGGCTGACACTAGTGGAACTGCTGTGCAGGAGGGTTAGGGTTTTGCACTCTTCCAACATGTTGTCCATCTCTACCTGCAGGACCACCTGGAATACAGACCTCTTTATCACAGGTGGATATATCAGATTAAGATCAAATCTGGTTTCTCCATACGGCAGCATGCTTAGAATTATGACCTCACCAGAGGACTAGGGACTTGAAAACAGTGATGTATAATCCAAGATAATGGAATTTATCTAAAATCAGTTACGAGGCAGATTGTATTTAATTTACTAGAGGGTAGCAATTTTGTTCACTTGTTAAAGAGCTGGCTGTGCACATTATATAAACCATTCGAAGCAATTACAAAGAGCCTCCATAATCCAGTGGCAAATGAATGATTTCCAGACAACAATACCAAAACTTTATCTTGCAAACCTGTGCTTTGCTTTCAGTGATAACTGGGCAGAGAAAAGCAGTGAAATCCATCCATGAAATAAAAGACTAATGGGAAACGACTGTGTGTGTCCACCTGGAAGCTGTGAGTTGCTCTTGTCTTGATTGTGCTATTGTTAGATGCTGTACGTTTAGCCATCCTGAACAGAAAGCAGCGGACCAAAAGAAAACGGTCGGATGCAATCACATCAACAAAAAACACAAACATACAGAGCAGCGATACAGCCACGTGTTAGATTATATCACCGCTTAACGTCGGTTCTGACTGAAGCTAGCTAGCTACAATAGTGACTAGCATAATGCAAGCTAGCAGTGATAACCAACAGCTAAAGGCTTCTCCGCAGCTGGTCTTCAGCCGAACTCCTTACCAGATCAGTGCTCCGTGTTGCTCTTGCGTGATTCGCCACCAAATTTCCTTAGTTGCGAGTCGATTACTTGATCTGAGCTGTAATAATCACTTAACAGACGTATTTCAAAGACATTGCTCCTCTTCCTTCTTTGCCAGTACAAGGAGAAAACGACTGTTCTCATTGTCGATGGTTTCCGTCTTTCTTGGGAACACCGTCCGAAGACCCTGTTTCGTTTCTGGACTGAATCCGTGGACGGTGTTCAGAAAAAAAGCCAATTTTTCCCTAACGCAGTGGGCAACGAAGCTGGATAAACTAGGGACAACAGTGCTACGTGAGATCCACCTCCATCATCTTTATTTGCGCATTTTCAGATAATGTGCCCGAAACTCTGCGTACCATATACAGTTATTTGATTACAACCAATAACAAGGTGCAGAGACCCTGCGAGAGCCCGCCCCCTGCCTGTTCTATGGCTGTCACTACCAGAGCTTGACGGGGCGGTAGCAGGACTCCTTCCGAGCGACCGCACCGCGGTTGTCTCCTTGCTGTTGCAGCTGCTTCTGCACTCCCCTACCTGCTATGGCACACAGGCTGTACTGTTTGTGCTGACGGTGACTGCTCTCACCACTGAAGTCGTCCGTGGGGCTTTCATGCTCCCATGCTGCTTTTGAATGAGCCTCATTGGAGTTAGGGTGGAACTCAACCAGGCCTGCATACATGTCTGCTGGACTAGATGTGGTTGGCCTTTAAAGGGTTAATAAGTTGCATACAACCATTTTGTGTGCTAGACGTGCTATAAAATGGCGCCACCTCCTTGTGCTGAACCACTACAAGTCCCTTTTGTCAGAGGCACATAAGATCCAGCCCCCCCTCCCAACAAAAAAAACACGCTATAGAGAAGAAGAAAAGCCATCCTTGGTAGGCTAGCGGTGAACCTAAAACCTGTGATTTGGCATTAGAGTTGAACAGTATCATCTATAAATGTTCTATGAGCCATCAATTAGGGCCTACCTTAGGTCCTCTACTACTTTGGTTCAGAGTGTGCTGATCACTCAGTGAGTACTTGATCCCAGATCACTAAATTTAAATGTGTACTACAAAATTAAGCAAAGGAATATCAGACCATATAGCCTAAATCTCTCAATTTTCACACCTGCCAATCAGAAGAGCAGAAAAGAGCCACTGATATAAAAGAACAGGTGTATTCTTATGGGATTCAATCAACATATTGCAGTTTGCAATGAAATAAGGCCTGGGTCTGATGAAACAATCAGCCTGTATCCTTATGACTACAGTTTGCTCCATAAATGTATCTGTTCATCTGTATGACTGTGATTTTGGAAGGGGTTTTTATATGCAGCCACCCACTAACAAATCATGAGCAGTTGGTGGGGGCTCAGCTGATTCTTGAGGATCTCTCAATCATACCGACCCCATAGGTCCACAATTTAAAAGATTTGGTTTCCCTAATCTTGAAGAATACATCTGAGTTAGACTGTCATAGAAATCAATGATCAGCTGTTGATCAATGATTAGCTAGCATATGATTTTTAGTCTAGTTATGTTAAGGGAAAGCCTCTGGGAGCAGCACTAGAATGTGAAGTGATTTTGGCATAGTGGCCACACTTGGTATTACCACATCACCTCACACATGCGCCCAAAAATCATTTTCACATACACAACCAAGAGCATGACCAACACACTGAATTGACACATTGTGTTATTAAAATTGGGTCCATTTGGCATATGACAATTCTAGAAAAATCATAAGCTATATTAGTTAATGCCCTACATGTGTGACTTCCAAGCAGGAAGTCAGCTGCCTTGGTCCGAGGAACTCTGAAATGCAAATATTCACAAATGGCTAGGGGAGAGGACACTCTCAAGCCCCTGCATACATTGTCAACATATGTGCCTAGTGAGCAACTTTAATAGGAATGAATGGGGCACCACCTTGAAACATGATATAGAGATTTCCTCAGTACATCCATGGGTAAGAATGGACTCCAGTTCCTGCCATACTCTAATGACAGCTTTAAGTTGATCATATCATTTTGACCCAAATGTGTGCTACAGTGTATTCTCCTTGGCTTCTTAGCACAGTACTTTATTGACAGTATCTGTGTTTCCACCATGAAGTTCCTGGTATGTTTTGTTCACAGGAACTGAAGTCCAAGAATTGTCCCTGGGGTAAAGGTTCCTCAAGCTCATTGTGATTTGAATTTCCACATCAGGGCCAAAGCCCCAGGAAGATTAGATAAAGTCCACTGACATAAAAGAGTGATGGTTGCCAGTGGGGTTTTAAGAATGCCACATGTAAAATGCTATGCAGTATTTGTCCAGACAGTGACATTAAGCACTGCAGGCCTCACCCCGATAGCTCTTGGATCTTCAGAATGTACCACCTCTTGACCAGGGACTTTTAAGTGGGGGTACAATTGTGCCCCAGGATAACATTTAGACTCTGGGTGATAACGCATGTAGAGGAACTAAGTTCCACAAAAAGTTCTTGTTCCCCAGATAATGTTCATTTGGTGAAAATAGAGCTGTTGATTAGAGTACAAGGAGCATATTTACCAAGGGTAGAGTCATGCACTAGACAGTCAGCCATGTATCTCATATGAGATCTTAGTCAGTCATAGAAGGCACCAAATGTTTCATGCTAGAACATTTCATGCTTGTGCCCACAAAACAGCTGCCCACTGCAGCAATTCCCAACTGTCCTGCCAGTTTGATTAGTAGGAGTTCCCCACCTCCAGAAAATGATTTAATGGATCCCTTTTGTGCACACCATGTATTTTCTCATGCTTGTGGATGATCTGTCAGGCTACATGATTTGCATGAAACTAGGTCAGACCAGATAAAATTTCCAGTACACCTATTAGTGGCTGTCACCTGTGTGTTGCTGTATAATTGTTTGTTTTTCTTAGTTTCCAAATGGATAATTAATGGAGAACAGGGTCAGGATGTCGATGCTCATATTTTTTATGTTTTTAACACTCCTCCTGAACCGAAGTACTGCTGAATGATAAGGAATGCATACCACCTCCAGCTGACCAGTGTTATACCAACTCCAGCCTGTTAGGACAAGTTGCTTGGACCTGGATCTCCCTGCAGAGTTTCAGATTAAACTGACAAGGAAGAGGGACTGCGGAGGTGGAATTTGTGTGAAAAATAGCAGACAAGGCTTCAAGTCCGTTGTATCTTAATTGATGTGGGGAATATGTAGGGCGGTGCAGTGGTTAGCTGTTGCCCCACAGCAAGAAGGTTCCAGGCTCGTGCCCTGACTGACCCAATGCCTTTCTGTGCGGAGTTTGCATGTTCTCCCTGTGCCTGCGTGGGTTCTCTTTGGGTACTCCAGCTTCCTCCCGAAGACATGCAGATTAGGTTGATTGGCAACTCTACAAAAATTGGCCATTATCCAGAAGGACATCTGGTGTAAAACATGCCAAGTTTAATGTGCACATCGACAGTTCAGTGGGAATTGATCATTCGCTGTAGCGACCCCTAACAGTAACAGCCAAAAATAGAAGAAGATTGTGGGGAATATGTGCTCACTGTCAAAAAAAAAAGATGGATGAGCTGTTGGCTAGCACAAAACATGACCATATCTTCCACCATTGCAGCCTAATCAGGTCCTAGAATTATTAGGGGTGACATTATAAATGTCCCCATTTAGGTTCATGTGTTATTGCATTGGTAGTGTACACTCCTCCCCTCAGCATGTGCTACAAACATTACATAGACAATTTTTACACCAACTCATTAAGTTCAGGATGGCTCCCCAGACAAATGGGAGACATTCATGGATTCTTTATCATCACATAGTTTCATCCATCCTGCCCACCTTTAAACACCTATCCCACAAGAGGCAAAAGGACACTAGGCTTGTTTTAATACATTATTAAGAACAGATGTACGCTGATCAGCCATAGCATTAAACCCACCCTGGTGGGTGAGGTGAATAGCATTATCTTGTTAAAATGGGACCTTTCAAGGAATGGGATACATCGGCTAACAAGTGAACAGTCAGTTCTTGAAGTTGGCTTGGAAACAAGAAAAACTGGTAAGCCTAAGGATCTGATCAACTTTGATAAGGGCCAAATTGTAATGGCTAAACAACTGGCACAGAACATCTCCAAAATGGCAGGTCTTGTGTGGTGTTCCCGATATGCAGTGGTCAGTAACTACAAAAAATGGTCCAAGGAAGGACAACCAGTGAACTGGTGACAGAGTCAAGGGTTCCCAATGCTCACTGCTGCACATGGAGAGTGACATCTGGGCCATCTGGTCTGATCCCACATAAGAGTTACTGTAGCACAAACTGCTGAAAAACCTAATGTCAGCTATGATAGACAAGTGTCAGCACAAACAGCTGCTATGGGGCTGCATACCTGCAGAACAGTCAGAGTACCCAAGATAACCCATTCAATGTTGAAATTGCCTACAATGGATGTGTGTGTAAGAAATGGGCCATGAAGCAATGAAGAAGGTGGCCTAACAAATCTCCAGCGGAAGGAGTGTGATGCTCTGGGCAATGTTCTGCTAGGAAACCTTGGGTTCTGGCATTCATGTGGATGTTAATTTGACATATACTGTAACACCTACCTAAAGACTGATGCAGACCAAGGGCACTTCTTTATGGTAACAAGTCATGGGTTACTAAGGATATTATAATGGCTATTAACAGGAAGAAACTGGCAAATGCCAGCAAACACAAGGACAGGATTAAAAGAGTAGTCTGAAGTTCATTACTGGCAGTGATTTTCCCACAGAGTGACCTTATGAGGGACACCATCTGCCTGATGACTTGAATAAGTTTTTTGCCAGGTTTGACAAGTGTGACTTCTCTACTGAACTAAGCCAGGTTCTTGTGGCACTGTCACAGGGGAACTGTAACAACACGTGTCCCCCCATAAGTTCTGTTGTACTTATAACTGTGAAATTTCTGAATAAGGGATATACAATATATCCTTGTACTCGGTGTATTCTGAGGTGCTAAATATATTTCAATTCCTGAACTCCACTGTCCTTGGAATATGTGTCATCTGTGCCTTATGATTTATTGTTTGGTTTTGTTATTATGTAATAATGACCAAACAAGTTTCCCCTTTGATTATCTGGCCTCCTGCTGTTAAAACACCAAGCTGATGGCTCATTAAGTAACTTCTCTGTACAATTTTAATGGCACAATTAAAATTACATGGTGACAAAGACATCCTTTCAAAAAGGAAGATATAGCCTAAACATACAACACATTGCAGAAACTCTCAAAGTCAAATAAAAAAAAAAAATGCAGCAGTTTAACAAAAACAGCATGGGCCGACACTAAAAATACAATGAAAAGCAACACATGTATCATAACTTGTCAACAACTGATGCATCCTTTAAAGTTTTATCTACAACCATCGCCTGTAGGACATTAGGTTTAAACATGCATTTTACCCAAGTCAGGCACATGTTGTAATTGTGTCCTTTTTTATTTTAATTCTGAGAAAATGCAAAAGTTATTTGGCATGCTCCCCACCTAAGTCTTGTGGTCCGATTTCCATTGGTTTCAGATTTACCAGTAAACACGTGTTCTCTTCATAGCAACAAAAAATATATAAAAGTAGTTATTTAAAATAGCCATTACAAACAAAACTTTACATCAATTATCAACCTATACAATAATTAATATATCTACATTCAAAAGTTTAAAAAACTCCTGAGAGCTTGACTGTTTGCAATAAAAATGACTAATGGGTCTGACAGGATAGTTACCCATTGTCTTCTGAACCGTGAGAAGTCTGGTGCTGAAGAAATGTCTCCAAGCATGAGAAAGTCTCAGTGCACTCAGTGCATTCATAAAGAACCTCAGAAGAATTTCCTTTAACATTTTGGGTATGGTCCATATAGTCATCCTCTATGTCCTCTGCATTACCCTTTTCTAGGGCAGGGTCTCCACTGGTACCAGTGCCGAGAGATGTTCGTCCAATATCATCTGCTACTCCAGTAATTGGGTGATTTTGAAGGTGAAGCTCAAGGGATGCAGAATTCATGAATTGAGCTGGACACTGGGGGCACTTACTGGGTCCCTTTTTATGATAGCGCAAGTGCCGTTGGTACACACATAACAGCCCAAATCTCTTTCCACATTCCTGACACTTGTAGTTAACTCGGCCCACTTTTCCTGATTGTCCCCCCTTTGGAGCCTGTTCTGGTGATGTTGCTTGGTCATTGTCAGAAGGGCTCTTGGTTTTCTCATCAGGAGAGCTTGGGTTTTTCTCACCATTGAGAGAACTGGGGGTAGCTCCAGTTTGTGGAGTTGTATACAAGTGTTTCTTTTCCACTTCAGCTTTGTGGTACATGGCTACATGCCTTCTCAAATCACAGCGCTGTGGAAAATGTCTACCACAAAATACACATGTATGCATAGTGCCCTTATGGTATCTCATGTGCCGAGATAAACTACTTGAATGATTAAAGACACGATGACAGTGCTTGCAAGGATGCAGCTTGCCGTTTGGATTACTCCCTCGTCTACGCTTGCCTTTAGGTGGTATTCGTCGCTTAAAATTTCTTTGCGATTCTTGATTCAGTTGATCTATTTCCTCCTGTGTTTGATGTGTGAGATGATGCTCTTTTAGAGCGGCTAATTTTTGGAAACGATCCCCACATAAACCACATCTGTATGGTGTGAAACAGTATTCTGTATCAATCTCCCTGCTAGCATCCCTAAAGAATTCACTATCCCCATTAGTAAGATCAATAGATGTGCCATTGCTGTGGCAGTTTTCAAGTGGTGTAATTTCTAGGTTTTTAGAGTTTATTTCAGTTTCCACTTCAGATGTAAAAGTAGCATCAGGCTCCTTTCCTTTGCAATGGTACAGTGAATGTGTTTGAAAATCCGACATCCAGAAAAACATCAACTTACACTTCCTACAAGTAAAGGTTTTCTCAAACTTTTTTCCCTGCCTATTCTCTGACTTACCCAAAGCTGAAGCTTTGGGGGAGAAGTGATTTTCTTTTTGATGAGCATTCAGGGCATCCACTTTAAGGAATCGTTTACCACAGTAACTACAGCAGTGAAACCTGTCATTGGCATGGTCTTGAAGGTGTTTCTTAAGGTCCTGTCTACCTTCAAAGATCTTACAACACAAAGTACACTTGTAACCTCGCTCTGTGTTTCGATACTGCTGGTGACGATGTAAACTCTGTAGACTGTTAAATGATCTGCCACATATTTCACAACGACAATAACCCTGACGGGACTTTTCCAAGTTGAAGTCTGATGGCCTTTGCCTGAACATATCTCTATGAGGGGAAGGCTGTGGCCTTAGAGTTGGAGACACTGGTTTGACAGGGGATGGAAAATTCTGTGGCAGGACTCCAGGAGATACTGGTTTCACAAAAGAATGTGACTGCACCAAGCCATTCACAACTGTCAGTGTACCATTTTCTTGTAGCACATATTCTCTAGGGACTTCAAATCCATTGGATGAGCCATCAAAGGAAAATGACTCCAAAGGTCCATGAATGGTCATGTGGGCCAACACATTAGAGTACTGACTGAACCCATCACCACACTCAGTACAGATGAAGGTATTTGATTCTCCACCCAACTGTGGTGAAGTAACACTATTCAATGATTTCTGTTTTTCCATGATGATATTTTGTCCATGTGCTGGTGGCATCACTTTTCTGTCTGCAAGTACGAATAAAAAGACATCCAGACACCCACAAAACTGGTTTCCATGTGGGAATCAGTACGTCCCCTCTCTGCAGACTAGAATTAAAAAGATGTCCTTACAAGCTGTAGGTTGACTCCTCCGATATGATTTTCCATGTCGTATCCGCACCTGGCGGGGAAGAATTACAAAAACAAAATAATTATCAAATCACTGAAGCCCAGGTTTTGTTTTTAAAAATCTAAAATATACATGGTTACTTGGCAATTTCAAATGACCCAAGCCAGGTCAGGCAACACTGAAACATACAAATTGGCCACTAATACAGGTTTAACTGGCCTCACTGTGGATGGAAAGTGGTTTTATAGTAGCTTTACTGTGTTCACTGTCTACCAGATGCAAGTGTTTGACAATGCAAGATCTGTAATGGGTGGGCACTACCATATTAAAGTGCTCAAGCAAGACAACCACTGGGTGTTATGTTCAGTGTCTTTAACCATGTTTTATGTTAAAGTACATTTAATTTGCATCTTGAATATGTTGTCTATTGAGATTTAAAAAAAAAAAAAATCAACTGAGGAAATTTATTTAAAAAAATACAATTGATAGGTAGCAGAAAAAAGTCAGATGTTGGAGCTTCCAACTTACAATACCCCAAGCAAATTTTCTGGTGCCATTATATTTTCAAAACAGCCAGGAAGGAAATTTGCTTATTGATATAAACCACATAAAATGCTGATCTGTGCTCTCCCACAATAGCAGATATATTTTTTGGACAAGTATTGTCTTCAACTAAAAGCATGCATTCTATTTTCTATTTTAATGCCATTAAACCACCACAGTTGATAGCTGCTTATTTAAAAAAAAAAGTGCTGTGTCACAGACTTCCAAACACTTCAGAGGTTGCCTACTTCTGTGTTTCAAACTCGCTCTTCTGCTTATTTACTGAAATTCTGCGGGCACAATTTCAGTCCTCTTGGTTTATCACAGTACTTCTCCCAACCATAAGGAAGACCACAATTTGATACCCTGAACTGGCATTAGCACTAGCATTGATCTTAGTAAGACAATCAGTTACTGTCCATGACATAACTGGTCCACATTAGAAGCAGTTTCTTCAATGCATTCATGAATTCCAGTGTTTCTGCTCCCAGTTTAGTCACAGATAACTGCCAAACCACTTTTTGGAACCACAGAATTCCCTAGCCTTTGTTAAACAAAAACGATATGATTCCAATGAAGTGTATGCAGTAATGTAAGTAAGAACCAGTATTGGATACAAAGTTGAGGTATCAAAAGGTGTCCGTCAAAAAGTTGGGTTGGTGCATCCCTACTGGCCACTGTAAACTAGAAAGACTTCTGGGAATAGTAAGAATTGTTTTCAGTTCTCCCAATTTACAATTATCTAGCCTACTTAGAACATTCAGGGTATATGCAGGAATCAGACTTCAAATCAATACCCTTTAAGACATTTTTCAAGACCTCTGCAATAATTTTTAAAGACCTGAGGCCAGCGGAAAAAATCAACTGCTGTCACAGTAGCTTCAGCTGTGCTACCAAGTAGTGGTGTAGACAATTTAGAACAGAAATTTGTGACAGACAACTGCTATCTACATCTCATAGCAGATCTGTGACTAGCACTGTGCATATGGGTCCAGATAGCATTGATCCCCATAGGGGATACACACTGCTTTCTTACACAGCAAACAATATGCCTGCTGGTTGTTCCCAGTGATGGTCCTCAACCATGGCTCAAATTCATTGTCCTCCAACCACTTAGATTCCCACCATTACATTTGTTAGTTTATGTAAAGTCAGTTTATGCATAGAGTTGTTAAACCGACAGCTGTCAGTAGGCCTGCGAGTGCACAACATGCAACTATTTATGATTATTCATGGGGAAAAATAGCTACAAATAGCTTTCATATGTGGTCCTAAATCGGATACATATCCGATGTTTTGCAATGCGACTTCAGTCTGAACGGCCATGTCGCATTTCATGCGATTTTTATGTCACTGAAATGCGACAGACGTCACAATTCTGCGCTGGAGGAGGCGAGGCCATAAGCAATATTTGTGCTCTCCTCCTTCTTGATGTTCTTATTATTATTTCTTTATTTCGATTGCACATTAACTGGTACATTGCTACGCACATGCTATCACGAGCCGCATCCATTTTTATTTTCGCAAACAGTACGCTGCGTCTGACGTCACGTCCTCTTCTGCGCATGCAGGTCACCTCAGGGCCGTATACCGTTCACACATGAGACAGATGGCAGTCGCATTTAAATGACAGTGTGAACAACAGCGCAAAAAAAAAAAAAAATTCGGATTTCGGCAAAAAAATCTGATATGAGCATTAAGACCTGCAGTGTGAATGTAGTCTATGACATTTTAAAGACCTTACTTTTTACTAAACTGTGTCAAGGATAGCCAAGAGTTGGACAGCAGTGATAGCTGGAGACAGTACTATAAGCGTACAAAAGGAAACAAAGGTGACCGTAAATTATACCAAGAAGAAAGCCCAAGCAGGCCCATGAACCAGAATTCAGCACACCAGCAGCAATACATACTGCGATTAAGAAAAGGATGAACTTTTCTGTGAATAAGGGAAGTTAGCAGACACATCCACACAAAAGAGGAACTGCAGGTAGAGATGTGTGTCTCTGTAAGAAGGGGGGTGCTGCTGCTGAGTTTATTAAGAAGGAAATATAATGGCTTCATGCATAAAGTAAAGATTTGATTAATCAGTGAATCAATGTTTAATCAAGTAATTTTGTATTAAAAATAATATAGTGATCAATGTTTTAAATTCAGTGCACTGACAGGTTTGTGTGAGTGTGCAATTCTTGAGCCTTAGATGTTATGAGATTATTGTAATTTGATCAGATGCGAGATTCTGGCATTTTTATCAGCCATTAGAATGATTTGTTTTTGAGAAAAGAGAAGTAGACAATGCTGAATCACAGTGGATGGAGGCCAATTACAAGCAGTGTACAATCTTGGTAGTAAAAGATACACAACAGTTCTGAAAAACAAGAATTTGCATGCTGAAAGCCGTGGTAGCCGTGGAGAGGACAAAGCCTATGTGACAAGAAGCCTACATAAACCATGGAAAAAGAGGAACGAGATCTTTTCACAGTTGCTGCCAGAAGCTCTGTCTGGTTGTTTTTCCAAGTTCCAGAAGACCAAGAAACTACCGAGAAGCAAGCTGGGAGGACACCTTAATTGTGGCTTCCCCCCTACAGGCCACCCTGGCCTGTGGGGGAGGGAGGGATGGAAAGAAGCCAGAGCAGCTAGCTAGAGTGGATTCAACATTGGAGACATTCTACATAATCATGGATTCGATGTAGAAATTCTTCTACTTAAACACAGATTCAGCAGAGGATGCATGTCATGTTGTTGGTCTGTTTTTTAGAGTTTCAGAAGACCAGGGGACTGTTTAGAGCCACTGCCTAGAGCAGGAAGTCAATGATGGATGCTTGGACTGTTCAATAAATTCCAAAATTCAGGAAGGAAAATCCTGAGTCCCTGCCGGGAGGGGATCATCGAGGGACAAATAATTGTTAAAAATCAACAACCACCAACTTGAACCAACCATTTCCTGGTGGTCAGTGAGAGATTGACTTTTATTCAGTGAAGGAGAACTACAATCATTTTAATCAGTATAATGGCTTAGATTAATGATATGAAACAGTAACTGTTGATTTATTGAGTCGTAAGCTAATCAACCAAGGATTGTTGGTGATTTTGATATTTTGCCTCATTGCTTACTGCCATGTTGTAAGTCTCTTTAAATCTATATAAATCTATTTAGAGAGGGGTGTTCTATTTAATAGAACACCGTTTCTCCAACCAAAGGTGTTCTATTAAATAGAACACCCCTCTCTAAATAGGGATGGTGGACTCAGACACAAGTTGTCATCCATCTTCAACTCTGTTATGAAATCTCTACCCAACATTTCCATCCCAATTCACACCAGGACAATAGGCGTCGGTCCACATGTGAAGGTTCGAAGACAGGTAATGACTCTCTCCCTTGCCCCTCCTCCCACTGTCACGGAAGTTTCTCAACATCTCACAGCTCCTGAAGCAGTCACCACCCACCAGCCCCCTCCGCCTCACGGCAGACCAGGTCAGGGAGGAGTTAAGGCCAGGAAGGCCACAGGGTCCTCAGGGAGTGTGCAAACCAGCTCAGTGAGGTGGTCCTCTACATGTTTAACCCGAGTCTTAGCCTGGAGAGAGTCCCAGCCCTATGGAAGACATCCTGTGTTGTCCCGGTTCCCAAAATACCTCATCCTAAGGAGCCGAACCATTACAGCCCCATTGCCCTGACCTCCCACCTGATGAAGACCATGGAGAGGATTGTCCTCAGCCACCTCCGTGCCCAGGTGAGCTCGGCGCTGGACCCACTGCAGTTTGCATAATGTCCTGGCATCAGGGTTGATGACGCCATTATCTACATGCTGCATCGAGCCATATCTCATCTGGAGTCCCCCAGAAGCATGGTGAGGGTCATGTTCTTCGACTTCTGAAGTGCTTTCAACACAATCCAGTCGTCACTGCTGAGGGGGAAGTTGGAGGGGGCAGGTGTGGACCAACACCTGTTTGCATGGACCATTAATTACCTCACAAACAGACCTCAATTTGTCAGGCTGCGTGACTGTGTCGGACGTGGTGGTCTGCAGCATGGGGGCGCCCCAGGGGATGGTGCTTTCCCCCTTTCTGTTCACTGTCTACATGTCAGACTTCAAGTACAACTCCCCCCACTGTCACCTACAAAAGTTCTCTGATGACTCCACCACTGTTGGATGTGTATCAGGGGGATGAGTGGGAATATAGGGGGGATGTTACTGACTTTGTGAAGTGGTGTGAGGAAAATCAACTGGTCCTGAACACCAGTAAGACTAAAGAGATAGTGACTGACCCCTGGCGGAAATCACCAGCACTCACTCCACCTCAACAATAAAATGGATTGGACTGAAAACACTGATGCCCTGTACAAGAAGGGCCAGAGCCGCCTACACTTGTTGAGGAGACTGAGGTCCTTTGGTGTGTGGGGGGCACTCCTTCGGACTTTTTATGATACTACAGAAAGAGACTAAAGAAGCTGGTCAAGAGAGCTGGGTCTGTCCTGGGCTACCCCCTGGATTCCATCGAGCAGGTGGCGG